GAACTAGCTTTTTATACTAAGGTCCCATAAACAATTCATTTTGAAGCCTTTTTCTATATAGGGAAAGTGTCTGAACTCGTTGAAAGTAATTTTGTGCAAAAACCAACGGCTACTACGCGCGCCCAATTTGTACACCCTAAGGATAGTATTGCCTATCTCAATGAGAAAGTAGTGATTCAAAAGATCCCATGCGAAGCTTATGATACCGTATATCATAGCTTAACAGGAAGATCCGTCTCCACCGGTTGGCAGTGAAGCGACATGACCATATGCCCGAAGTGGCTATGCATAGCCTTGATTAAGGACACCCCGTCGCATGGGATACAACACGCATCACCAGAGTTTTCCCCTTAATGAAAGGCCGAGAATTACTTGAGATCATGCACTTCGATGTTCCCTGCATCAACCGACATATCGAGTTGGATGCAATGTAGAAAAATCTCATAGAATTTTGGAAGAGACGATGTCCAATCAAAACCGACGAACATAAACCGCAATTGCTAATAAATGCTCACACAAGGTGATTTTTAATTTTTCCAACCCGGACTGACGCAAATTATAGTTTCTAATTAGCTATTACACTTGAGAAGAAGAAGATTCGATCGCTGGGACAATATGTTTATTCGCCTGGCGTTTCGATATCCGTCGCGGATTCGTCATCAGAGACATGAGTTGCACCGTGGACTGACGCAAATTGCAACTGCCAGATAGTGATAACAACAGATGACTTTATAATTGTACTAGCATTTTTTAAATTTCTATTGTCCACTGCATGCACCCCCAGGTCAGACGGCGACCTGGGGATCCAGCGTCAAAAATTTACTGAATCGACCTACTTGTTTTCTCAAAGAACGGATAAATGTTTGCTGCATAGAGTATGTATCCGTCATAATTGACATGATTATTTACCATAATGCCACTTCACGAACCAGCTAAAAGCCAAAACACGCGCGTCGCCGATATTCTGCTTTAACATGGTATAGCCGCAAGGGTTCCCATTCAACCACGAGTCCCCAGAGTTCCCTGTATGCCCTTAGACCCTGCTCATGTACCGATGCACTCAAAATCAAAGTTGAAAGTTAACATTCGGTAGTAGATATGACTCCTGTGTTATATGTCAGGAGCACAATGAATCAATGTTAAGGCACGATTCTTTCTGAGTTAACTTTCCACAATCTTTAAAATCGCATAATTAGAAGAACATCAAAAACCCAAGATACCCTTTACACGTGAACAAATTTAAAGTTGAGTCAATGTGCCTCAAATACAGAACACAAAATAATACTTTATGTATGTGGCAACAGGAGCTTATGTAGCTTTACTCATTAATCCCTACAACCTGCATGTTTTCTTACGAAAACGGTGGTTATCGGGTGGAGAATCAGGACACGCAGTGGAATACACTTCAATATATGCTAAATACATTTTTATTTCACTGTATTTAGAAGTGCTGTTGATTTATAGCTGTAGATTTTCCTAACCTGTATTATCATTTAACTTTTTGCGGAAAAACCCGATTATCAAATTGCAGGTTTCTCGAATTTCCCGAAAAATTGAAATGGTGGTAAGGAGGTTGCCTACTTCAGCTTACCTTTGGTTCAACTTACCGTTCTGGAGTTATATTAGTATAGTCCGCGGCGCGAAGCACCGCGCACACCTTCGAGTTACATGCGGAACAACCTGCTACCAGTGGCCGCGGGAAGCAACCTCGACTACATTTTTTCACTTTAAATTTCTAAAAATTATATTTCTTAAACCCACAAAACTCTATGACCACCGTTTTTGCAGGACAAAATGCTGTGAGTATGGGTATATGAGTCTGGCTATATAAGAAACTTTTGCCATGCATGTTTTACACAAAGCATATTTATATTCATAACGTTACTTCAAATAAATGGTAAGTTTGAACGTCACCGACTTAGTCATTTTTTCGGACTGTTAGTTCTAAATGCGCCCACAAGGAAATTTTATCTAAACCTTGGCCTCTGACTCGACTGAAATATTTTTCAGTTTTAGAATGCACGAACGTAAGGTTATAAGAGATCTTAAGAGAAATTTCATCATCAGGGACACATTTTAATGCTATTTCAGTAGGTAGCTTATTTGTTTTTCCGGTCTGTCCCCTGGTCCTCATTCATTCAAAAACAAGTTATTTCTGCTTAGCAACCAGGGTAGAAGGTTGGTCAATATAATTACAAATTCAACAACATAAATCTACTTTATATTTACCGTCATCCATCTATACCGGGCACACCAAATGGGCATGTCCAAGTTGAAAATTACCAGCATAGGTTTGTGCACTTAGAAGCAAGTTGTTCTTAGCATACGTTTTGCGACTAATTTGCCGGAAGAAACCCTGTTATGAACAATAGACTGAACTCTACGAAACCACACTGTTCAGTAGATTGCTTACTTATGAAATGTGAAGATAAAAATCTAAGTGGATTGTTAAAAACACCTTTGAGTTTGTTTATTTTTTCGTTGAAATGACCTGAGGCGCGAAATAGGGTAAACTAGAAAAGATGTCATTGTGTGCTCAGTGCATCGAAGGAAAATAGGCGCAGAATTTGGCAAAGTTCACAGATTGTCGTTGCAGACCTAAATCTCTACTTTGTGCGCGTTGACCTATAAATGAATGTTAATGAAACCCAGAAATATTGTTAATATATTCGGTCAGAGACCGGAACAGTTGATTTTGCGTTCAGGAAATTGAGGTAAGTGCAAATAGGGGTGGTGCATTGCTTTCAGGAAATGAAGAGCGGATTCAGTTTCCAAAAGTTGTGTTTTGCAAATCAGCCGCGTTTTGTGCATACTAGAAACTACAGCAATAAACATAAAAAAGTGAGTGCTTTCACCTTCAATAGAAGATGTATTCCTAATTAATAGAGAGGTCAAAAAGTCGGTCACACTTTGCGAGTTATACCTTGAACTAAGCTTTAAAAAGTTAAGCGTGCGGATAGTTGATGGCGAGCTATCTTAGTTAAGCTCTTTTTTCAAGAGACATGTTGTTAAATACACCTTTTTAATAGATCTTAGATATATTAATTTGTGACTTGTGTTTCAGAAAGTGCTTTTTCTCGGCAATGAGTTGACATGTTGGGGTGATTCTAAAACCATGATCCGACAAACAGGTGCATTAGGCGGAATGCTCGAAAACGTACTATTGGTCTAAATGCATTCGAGATATATCTCGTGTTGAAGGTTTTGGAAAGTACGCGCAATATTATCCACACTTGTGGCCAATCGAATGAAGCCAGTGAAAATTTTCAAGTGTCATTTACTATTTAAAGGACGATATGACACTCGTTATAATCAAAATCCCGAATTAATTACAAGGAAATGTGACTGAAGGAAATTGCTGTTATTGTACACAAAATGGTACGTTCGCAATTACACCTGAGAATTTTATTTAACTGTGTTAGTCACTCACCGGCATGTCGGCACGTGAGCATAGCAAATATCTTACTCCTGTGACCTACCAATTAGCAAAACCACGCAAACATCTGCCTGCCTTCGTTAAACGTAACTTAAACTACGTATGAACGGAGAAACACATAGCAACTCTCGTTAAACCATGTTAGAATAAAAATCTGAACCTTGAGGTGCTTACAAACAGCCACACGTTACAGTGCATGTAAAACTGAAGCATAAGTAGCCAAAAATTTAATAAAGGGAATTACTCTTGCACATAATTCTATTTAAGATGCTTTACTCACTCGCTGTTTTTCTTTGGCATGAACAGACTTCCTCCACATTAAAACATAAGTTTACCTACTACGCCCGATTTTAACTTTTTCAGAAGGTTCCAATTTTCTAAAAAGGCTGGCATTTCTAAGCAACGCTATATTATTTGAAAAATCACAAATGTGTTATTTTGAAAAATGCTGAAAACTTTATTGCGGTAGGACTTTGGTGAACGTAGAGTGAGCTAATTTTGCACTGCAGAGATTTCCTCGGAAAAATCCTTAGCTTCTGTCAGATAGGCAATCCACTGTAGTTTGTTTGTTTTGCAGAAATACTAAAGAGCTTGGACAGAAAACAACTCGATCGCTGGGACAATACAATACACCAGCTAGCTTCTCCAAGGGTTTACACCAACGGGTGCTAGTGACAGCCGAAGCAGTGGCTATACGGTTAGCAAATTCACTGTTTCGCTGTCAGAAGACGCTAACACAAGCATTTCCACTTCCGTGGCCGACGCCGACGCCATGTGATGATCGCATACCGCTCCCACTTTCTTTTGACAGCCGTTAACTCCGTGCAAATGACAGTAATTATCACTCGACGTACCTGAACAATAACCAACGCTCTCAACTTATCTTTATTTCAAAAGAAGAAGATGTGACCACTGGAACAAAATCTTTGTTTTCCTGACGTTTCGGATTCCGTCGGAAATCCTTACTTATGGGTAATTGTAGGATAGCCTGAGTCATGCGCAAATAGGGATGAAACATGCACTGATTGCATGGTATTTATAGTTCGCAGTGATAACCCGCGTGTGCACCACATTAACTTCTCCTGCAGCTACCGCTTAGGGTCTTATTTGGTGCGGCGATGCCTTAAAACGTCGCGTTTTCGGACACCAGTGACTGAAATTCTTGGCTTGGTATGTGCTCGACACTTTCATCGTTGCCAATACAAGCCAACATGCGAGTCCCAGGAAGCAATTGTGTTGCTTTACGACACTACAGACCGAAATTCTGGGCG